AGTATAACGTCTATGCGTAAGCGATGTGACTCATTTCATGTTTTGCGGTAAATATTTGCATATAGATCGATAAAAGCCCATGAATAATGATATTTATAGATGCAATTCTGCTGATTCAGTTTAAATGGAAAAACGTATAAAATTCGCGGGAAACAATGCGTATAGGATGATCTCAATATCAACACGTCATATTCAGTGTGCATATAAAAATGGAATTGCTCATATGTGGTGCATACAGTTAATGTTAGTTAATTTTTAACATTGATACAATATTGAAAACATAGTACAGTCTATATTGTGTATCTAATAAATTCAACAAGGCAATCACCTACGTCGCAAATGAGGTTAGGTTCAGGGCAGGTGTTGTCGTAGCGGTGATATGCAAGAAGTACCGGGCGGGGCTGTTAAGCATGGGTGAATGGGCAGGAGCGCAGGCTGTCAACGAGTTAATACTGACCAACGATAACAGCGGTGACCTTGAAACACTGTGGTCAGTTAAAAAGTGGTGGGGGTAAAATGAGATTATAAATACCTATGAATCACCGCAAATTATCTTGTCAGTTATCTGCAGCGAACAGACGTGCTCAGTTCAGATTTAGTCGCTAGTTAACGTTTTAGTTTTTAAAAAATGGAAAAATTCATCGTTAAGGATTCTACTAAGAAGATTAAAAAATTTAATCTATATGGGCGAGAAGTGGAATTTAAAATACGACCTATCCCTAAAGACGTCGAACCTGTGGGATGGATCAAAGACGCTCTGGAGGAAATAGTAGCCAAAGGAACTGAACATCTCCAGCCCAGTGATCAAGTTGGATTCACTTTCTGTTCCAAAGACTTTACCCGCGGTCAAGGATGGATAGCTTTTAAATTGTTTTCCGACGTTTCAACTGAGGACATATGGGAGAAGATATCTTCCATCTATCAGTCAAATTCTGTGGGGTTGAATACCGAGACTTTTTGCTTGGGTATTACGTCCGTAAGGTTGCCTGCTGGTCGTGGTAGAGCTCAGAATTTCAATACCTTTGATGAGGAATGCGCCAAAAGAAAAGGCATTATCACCGTTAAAAACACCGATAATTTGTGTCTCCCACGAGCCCTTGTCATCGCCATGGCCCATTTGAACAAAGACAAAGATTATAGCAGAATCCGCCGTGATCGAGAGAAAAATACAAGGACAAAGAGCTGTACAACTTGTGGAAAAGGCTGATATTGTTATCCCTGAGGAGGGGTGTGGAATACCTGAACTTCAAAAGCTACAACGATATCTGCAAAACTACAAAATTGTTGTATACAAGTTTGGGTGCAAAGGTCGTGACGTCATTTTTGAAGGCGTGTCCGCTGGTTCGACGCTTAACCTAATCTATCACGAGGGGCACTACAGCGTCATAACATCCCTCACTGCTGCCTTTTGCTGCAGCTTTTTTGTGAGAACTGCCACATTCCGTATAATACTAAACAAATTCATAGATGTGATAAACAATGTTATGCTTGTAAAAGATCTCCGGCCTGCCTGAAAACGAAGCACATCAAATGCAAAGAATGTAATAGAAGCTTTTATGGACAAGAATGTTTTAACGCTCATTTACCATCGGTCTGTTCTAAAATTAAAAGATGTGTAGACTGTTTTAAAGTTCACAACGGTAATGATCACATCTGCGGATATATACTTTGTAAAACATGTTATAAAAATCAACCAATTGAACATATGTGCTATATACAGCCTGACAGAAGTATTCCTAAATCAAATGATGTCTTATTAATATTTTACGATTTGGAAACCCGTCAGGAGAAGGAATTACCCAATGGATCTTTACTGCATGAGCCAAATCTATGTGTATTCAAACAATGTTGTGAATCATGTACCGATAATCCTATATGCAAGAAATGTGGCCTTCGAATACAGATTCTTCGATGTCAAGACGTCATTTCTCCATTTATGCATCATATTCTGACACTTCGTAAAAAATTCAAGAAAGTCATTGTACTGGCGCATAATGGTGGAGGATTTGATCATCAGTTTCTACTTCGTTACATTTTAGAGAAGACTAGTCTGTACCCGAATGTAATTATGAGAGGAACAAAATTAATATTGATGGAGGTAGGAAATGTAAAATTTCTGGATTCTCTCAATTATTTTCCTATGCCTCTAACTGCTCTACCCAAGGCGTTTGATTTGAAAGAGCTAAAGAAAGGATACTTTCCACATTATTCAACACTTTGGCTCATCAGAATTATGTAGGGCCAATTCCAGCGCTCGACTTCTACGATCCCGACCATTTAAAGGAAGACGCTCGGGAAAAATTATTAAAATGGCATGGCGAAAGACAAGCGGAGGGATACGTTTTTGATTTTCAGAAAGAAATCGTTGAATACTGTATCTCCGATGTGGAAATATTGACACAGGCGTGTCTCAAATTTCGAGACCTGATGAAAACCGAAACCACAGTCGATCCCTTCCAGGAAAGCACCACTATTGCATCATGCTGTAACAAAGTCTTTAGACGCAATTTTTTAAAACCTGAGACGATCGGGGTAATTCCAAAAGGGGGCTATAGATGGCGTGAAAATCAGTCAAAAATTGCCATCCAATGGCTGTTGTGGGAGGAACATCAAAGAGGAATCAAAATTCAACACGCCGCTAAGGGTATAGAAACCATTGTTAAGGGACATAAAGTAGACGGTTTTTGTAGCGACACAAATCAAGTGTTTGAATTCCAAGGATGCTATTTTCACGGTTGCCCTCGATGTTTCAAATACAAAAGAAGCAATCCTCTGCATAATGATCCGTTGAATACATTGGAAAGTCGATACGAACAATCAGTTAGCAAAGTAGAGAGACTCCGAAGCCTTGGACTAGAAGTAATTGAGATATGGGAATGTCAATTTCGAGGAATGCTAAACGATGAAATTAGAGCCTTCACAGAAGCACATCCATTGATAATCAATTTACCGATTAACCCCAGAGACGCTCTCTACGGGGGACGTACAGAAAATATCGTTGAATACTACAAGATCAAAACAAATGAATGCATAAAATATGTCGATATATGTTCCCTGTACCCCTTCATCTGTAAATATGGAAAATTTCCGGTGGGTCATCCAAAAAAAATTTACGTAGGTGAAGAATGTGTTACAGCCTCTCTGTCGCAGATGTCAGGACTTATTAAATGCCAGATTCTACCGAACCAGAACTTATATCACCCCGTTTTACCGTCAAAAATGAACAACAAATTGATGTTTGTTAACTGTCAAAAATGTGGTGAAGATTTCGTTCGAGAAGAGTGTCAGCATTCTATTCAAGAAAGAAGCCTAAAAGGAACTTGGGTGATAGAAGAGGTGCTCAAAGCTATTGAAAAAGGTTACCAGATTATAGAGACTTACGAAATATGGGAATACGATACAATTCAGCTCAGTAAAGACCAAGAGGGGTTATTTAGCGGAATGATGAACAAGTTTCTACAAATAAAAAACAAGCTTCAGGATGGCCCAAACATTGCTTAACGGATGAAGAAAAAAACCGTTATATTGATGCATTTTTGGATAGAGAAGACATAAAGCTGGAATTTTCAAAAATTATAGAGAACCCCTGTTTGAGATCGTTAGCTAAACTTATGCTGAATTCCTTTTGGGGTAAATTTGCTCAAAAAGAAAACCAAAACAAAACCTCAATAGTCAGAGACTGTGGTGAATTCTTTGATATGCTGACTAATCCTTCTATTCATGTAAATACAGTTCTCCCGGTAAACGAAGAAACCCTTCTCATAACTTGGGAATTTAGAGAAGAGGCCTATGACGTTTCTTCAACGGTTAACGTTGTATTGGCTTCATATGTCACGGCCCTAGCTAGACTAAAATTATATTCATTCTTGGAGAAAGTGGAAGAAAGGGCAGTTTACGTAGATACAGATTCATGTATTTATATCTCTCGTAAGGGATTAGACGACATATCTACAGGCGACTTCATAGGTGATATGACCGATGAGCTCAATGGGGGTTTCATATCAGAGTTTGTTTCTGGAGGACCTAAGAACTACGCCTACAAATATACTACTTTGTCTGGAGAGGAACAGATCGTATGTAAAGTAAAAGGCATATCACTCAACTACAAGGCATCCCAAGTAGTCAATTTTGAGAAAAAAAGACATGGTGCTGAAGAAATCTGATCCTGTTTCTGTACTTTCTCGACAGCTACGACGTACAAGAGAGCATGCAGTAGTAACAGTCGAGTTTCCTAAGGTATACAAGATAACTTCAATGAAAAGGAAATTCTATGAAGATCATACCTCTGTACCATTTGGATTTAAGAAAATAAAGTATTGATTTATTAATGTATGTAAATATTTTTTAATAAACATGTAAAATAAAATGTATGCAAATGATTTTTTGTTTTTTATTTCCCGCCTAATTGAAAAATATTTTTGCACCCGAAATTGTTCAGCCTTTTTACTCCATATAAAATATTTAAAAGTATGCATTGTTATTATTAAACGCCTGCAGTAATATACACCAAAAAAATTGAGAAGCAGTGTAACCATGTGGAACTTTGTATAATCACAAAAAAACATATCTTGGAAAATAAAAAATACAGCAGATTCATAAGCAGTGTAGAGAGGAAACTACGTAAAAGTAATCGATTATTACTAATAAAATAGAGTTTTGAATTCCTATTTTTACAATAATAATCATTTTACTATCTTACGTGTTGGGCACTGCACTGTACGGGTACCAACACTGTACTGCACGGGCACGAAAAATTGAGAAGCATGATAACCATGTAGAACTTCGTATCACTACGTAAATGGTTATTACGAAAGTAGAAATAAAAACTATATTTTCGATAATGGCTATACTATTTTTTATGAGCACCGAAAAAATTGAGAAGCACGATAACCTCATAGAACTTCGAAACAGCACCAGAGACAACCGAAGGCTACAAAAAAAACACATACTGAAAAGGCATAACATCTATCAGCGCTGGTATCCGATAATACTGTTTCCTTTGACATTCGTTGGGATATGAAAACACATATTTGCTTCCCACCGTTATAACGGAAATAATAGTTACTGCAAAAGCAGTTTCACGATAAGACCATACATTAATCTACAAAGTTGATAATAAAACATATGTACTATTAAAATGCAGATATTTTTAAAATTATACAATTAAAAAATCAAAATAATATATTATAAATGGTAGGGGATACAGGGTAAACACCGAAATATACTTAATTTAGAATAGTTACTTATAATCTCCTCAGTTCTTTGGTCAGCCGTATCGACAATTTACCGGTGGGTCCTCTATTTTTGTGCATGTAAAAGGTTAGACTATGGCGCTAGCAAAAAAAAAACAAAATGCAACAAAGTAGAGTCACTTAATATTCTTGTTGAAATTACGGATAGAATATGGTAGAAAGTAACAATCAGATATTGTAGAAGCCATGTAATTGTTTAATTGTTGAGGAAAAAGTATTTTTCATACGCTGACCATGTTTATGTCCGCTTGGTACGCGACCAGATCTTTTCCAAACCTTTGCCCGTAGGGTTCATGAGCCTACGACCAAATGTGTCGTCGAAGGGGCATTTTTGGCAAATTCGGTCGAAACCGATGCTGCGTTCGTACCCTAGAGCCTACGAACAGTGACTCAAACTTAATTTTAATTGATATGCAAAGATCTGGCTAGAATGCTTGAGCTAGTGATTATATGCAATTTATCGGTGACGAGCTTTCCTCTAGCATATCTTGATTTATTCAAGCGAATCAATGAGAAACTAGTGAATAAAATTACCTGACAGCCATAGTACAAGTTGGTATATCTACACCTTCTCTTACATTTGGCGCCACTAAAATGTTAATCTCCTTGTTTCTAAAAACGATCAAGTACTTATCTGTTCTTCTTATTAATCGGAAGTGATTCTACGGTGCTATTAAAAGAGTTTCCGTTATATCCCACAACGAAATCCGGCTTTATATGTCTGAACTCTGGTACATGTTCACTCAAATCTTTCAGTACATGGTGCATTTTTGGCAGTTGATCTTTCCTTCGTGAATATTAAACCACAAATGTCTTCGTTTGAAGATGAACTGTTGAAAAGTGTTACGTTATATTAGTATTTATTTATGACATTTACTTTTTTAAAATAGTTAAATACTACGATAAACTGGGAATGTGGGATGAAGCAGAAATGTTTCTGTAACCCAATTTAGGTATGTATAGCAAGTCTTACGCAAGACAATAATAAAAACAGATAGAATTCGAGGGCGATTCTTGGAAGAAAAATTCATAGTATTTCTAAGGCAACAGCGACCGGAGGTGCTATAATTTTAGCATACATTTACAGGTTATAGGTCTAATGATAAATAGAAAGTGATTAAAATTTTAACTTCAATTTTCGTAAAATAGCTGAGATATGCCATCTTGCAGTAGCCTGAATGAAATACCCGACAGGTTACCCATCACCTGATAGTCTGTGGTTCTCGCCGCTAGATGACGCTACATACAAACGTCATCTGTCAAACGTTATGTGTATCATTGATAAGTGTGAGTTGTGTCTCTAAGCGCTAGATGGTGTCGATGTCGCACTGGTGTCGTAGAGTGACCCACATACAGGGGTCGATAGAAATTTTTGGGGCCCTACCGACGGGTCGATGAACCGACGGTATAATGTCAGATCGAAATAAGCTCCATTCACATGGGAGGTGTGTGTGGAATTGCTCGTGGGAGACACGGACCTTGTCGTATATAGCAAGACGTGTCCTAAAATGGTGATACCCATTGGTCGCTCAGCCATACAGGTCGGTCAGACAGAAGTTTTTGGGACCGGGGTGCTCTGATTGGTGGATCAGACGGCGGGAAATTTGAACGGTGTTGATGGTATAGCTGAATGGTGGACGGCGGGGTCGGGTGCGTTGGTAATCACCTATGTCGCAAATGAGGTTAGATAGATAGTCGTTCAGTGAAGGTGTTGTCGTAGCGGATATGCAAGAAGTACTGCTCGCGGGGGTGTCAACGAGTTAATATTGGCCAACGATAACAGCGGTGACCCTGGAACACTGTTGTCACACGGTTGCAAAAGATGACAGGTTATCTCTTAATTTTCGTAAACAACGATTTTTCTAAAGTGGTAAAAACAGGTCGAAATTTTAAATACCTATGAATCACCGCAAATTATCTTGTCAGTTATCTGCTGCGAACAAAACATGCTCAGCTCAGACTTATCTAAAAAGTGGTGGGAAAATCGATATTATAAAAATATTTATGAATCACCGCAAATTCTCTTAGACGTGCTCTTATCAGTTCAGACTTAGTTAAAACTGGTGGGTAAAATCGAGATTATAAATACCTATGAATCACCGCAAATTACCTTGTCAGTTATCTGCAGTGAACAGACGTGCTCAGTTCAGACTTAGCAATTCCCAACGCTCCTCCGTGGCCATTCCCCTTACCCTCTCGCGAGTGCGCGCATGCGCATGCGGCTCGTTCTGGTCTATAGACATATGATCGCTAATGATCTTGAACAAAGATGTCCTGATACACGAACCGCCAGAGGTACATCAGAAGTAATGTTAGTATTGTGTGTGCGTGTTTTTTGAACACGCTAAGTCGTGATGTACATCACGTGACGTACGTCACGTGACCTACGTGACGTGCGTGTGACAGGTGACGTACGTGTGACAGGTGACGTACGTGTGACAGGTGACGTGCGTCACGTGGCACGTGACGTGCGTCACGTGACACTTGACGCACGTGGCGTAGATACTGGTGCACTCTGGGCGCCCCCCACCACTTCCACTTTTTGGCCACGCCCACCACATCCACCGCGTGCTCTGATTGGCGGATCAAACGGCGGGAAATTTGAACGGGGTTGATGGTATATGTTGATTGGCGGGAACCGCTAGATCCACCGCGTGCTCTGATTGGCGGATCAAACGGCGGGAAATTTGAACGGGGTTGATGGTATATGTTGATTGGCGGGAACCGCTAGATCCACCGCGTGCTCTGATTGGTGGATCAGACGGCGGGAAGTTTGAACGGGTTGATGGTATATGTTGATTGGCGGGCCCCGTTAGATGGCGCACCCGACCGGAAGTGATTCAGACAGCCGACGATAGTAAGGTGTAGTAACGTCTATGCGTAAGCGATGTGACTCATTTCATGTTTTGCGGTAAATATTTGCATATAGATCGATAAAAGCCCATGAATAATGATATTTATAGATGCAATTCTGCTGATTCAGTTTAAATGGAAAAACGTATAAAATTCGCGGGAAACAATGCGTATAGGATGATCTCAATAATCAACACGTCATATTCAGTGTGCATATAAAAATGGAATTGCTCATATATGTGGTGCATACAGTTAATGTTAGTTAATTTTTAACATTGATACAATATTGAAAACATAGTACAGTCTATATTGTGTATCTAAAATTCAACAAGGCAATCACCTACGTCGCAAATGAGGTTAGGTTCAGGGCAGGTGTTGTCGTAGCGGTGATATGCAAGAAGTACCGGGCGGGGCTGTTAAGCATGGGTGAATGGGCAGGAAGCGCAGGCTGTCAACGAGTTAATACTGACCAACGATAACAGCGGTGACCTTGAAACACTGTGGTCAGTTAAAAAGTGGTGGGGGTAAAATCGAGATTATAAATACCTATGAATCACCGCAAATTATCTTGTCAGTTATCTGCAGCGAACAGACGTGCTCAGTTCAGATTTAGTCGCTAGTTAACGTTTTAGTTTTTAAAAAATGGAAAAATTCTTCATCGTTAAGGATTCTACTAAGAAGATTAAAAAATTTAATCTATATGGGCGAGAAGTGGAATTTAAAATACGACCTATCCCTAAAGACGTCGAACCTGTGGGATGGATCAAAGACGCTCTGGAGGAAATAGTAGCCAAAGGAACTGAACATCTCCAGCCCAGTGATCAAGTTGGATTCACTTTCTGTTCCAAAGACTTTACCCGCGGTCAAGGATGGATAGCTTTTAAATTGTTTTCCGACGTTTCAACTGAGGACATATGGGAGAAGATATCTTCCATCTATCAGTCAAATTCTGTGGGGTTGAATACCGAGACTTTTTGCTTGGGTATTACGTCCGTAAGGTTGCCTGCTGGTCGTGGTAGAGCTCAGAATTTCAATACCTTTGATGAGGAATGCGCCAA